AAAAATATTTCTTTGAAATATTATTTCAACCAAAAATTTAACGTAAAACAAATGTCTAATAAATGTTTAAGAATATTCTTCCAAATCATTATTTCAAACGAAAAATTAATGTAAAATAAACATTTAATAAACATTAAATGAACGTTAAAAAAATCTTATTTTGAAAACGAATCATAAAATGTAAAATTTATTACGAATAAATGTTTAAAAAACATTTAATAAACATTAAATAAATGTTATCTTGAATAAAATGAATTGTGAAATGTAAAATTAATGAAAAATAAACGTTTAAAAAACGTTTAAAAAACATTTCCTTCATTGGGGCACGATGATTCAACATGAAATACATGTTTAGAAAATGTTTCTTCATGCCGTTAAATGAACAAATGATGTGAAAAACACATTTAATAAACGTTAAATAAGCATTAAAAATATTTCTTCAAAATGTTGTTTCAAATGCTGTTTTAAAATAAGTAATTAATATGAAACAAATATTTAATTAATATTAAATAAATGTTTAAAAAATATTACTTTCAAATATTATTTCAAACAAAAAATTAGTGTAAAATTTACATTTAATAAATAGTAAATAAACGTTTAAAAAATATTTCTTCCAAACATCGTTTCGAATGAATAATTGATGTAAAATAAACGTTTAATTAACGTTCAATAAACATTTAAAAAATGTTTTTTCAGAATATCATTATAAACAAAAAATTAGTGTTAAATTAACATTTAATAAACGTTAAATAAATATTTAATAAATGTTCCTTCGAAACATTACGTCGGAAAATTAATGTAAAACAAACATTTATTCAACATTATATAAATGTTTAAAAAATATTTCTTTGAAATATTATTTCAAACGAAAATTTAGTGTGAAATTAGCATTTAATAAACGTTAAATAAACATTAAAAAAATTTTATTTTGAAAACGAATAATATAAAATATAAAATTAACTACAAATAAACGCTAAATAAACATTACATAAATGTTATTTTAAAAACGAATCATGAAATGTGAAATTAATGAATAATAAACGTTTAAAAAATGTTTAAAAAACATTTTCTCCCCATTGAGTTACAGCGCGGATTCCTAAATGCTCTAATTTGATTATTATTGTTTAAATTATTTTATTATAAGGAATCTTATTACAGTTTTTACAATATGCAAATAAATCACTCCCGAAATATTGCATCAATATTTTAATAATGCTCAATATTACAAAAATTGCAGCAATACAGATGCAATATTACAATTTTAATATTGCATTGCAACAATATTGTAAAATATTGCAATTTAAGATTTTGTAGGAAATATTGCAATATATTTCTGCAATATTATAATTCAACACATAAGCATGCGGTCACGAAATGGATGCATTTTTTTAAGGAAGTCTGTAAGAATAAGACGTATGCAAAAAAAGTTGACGAGTCTCCTGGAGAATGGTTCACTTTTATACTGTTGCAATTTCCCACTGCTAATTACAGCGACTTTCACTCAAGGAATCTTTTCATTTTTTGTTCGAGCTGTGATTGTCTGATATCGAATTGAATATATGCAAATGATATAAGCTCTTTGGAGACAAGTTTTTTCAGAAGTACTTTTTATGTCGAATATTTTTTTCATCATGATTTTTTCATCATGATATGTATTTTGAAATGTGATGCTAAGCAATAGTACTTTAGCAATTAATAAAATTAGATTAATTATTGAAATATTGTATAATATTGCAGCATTATCAAGTAAAATATTTTTTGTTGCAGCAATATTTTATTTTAGCGAACATAGGAATATTGCTACAAGACTGCAGCAATGTCTTATAAAATATTGCAATCTTTTAGATAATATTCCCAAAATAGCTGTAATAATTTATGCTGTAGTGGTATATACTCAATATGATTTAAATACTACATTTTTTTTTAATCTTCACTGTGCTTATATAAATATTTGAAAATCTAATATCTAATTTTTTTAATATTTATGTTTTCTCTTTTAAAGGAAAAATGTCAATAAGGCCGTTTTTTTGGACCATTTTAGAATCACTTCAAACGGTGCTATTTTATTCCCCTCGATGGAACTCACAGTCCACTAGAGCCGTTTATTACAGAAGCAATTAAGTGCTAAAAATAAGGCACTCTTATATCAGATTTACATGGGATATCACTCATAGCTACAGTGTCTATTTTATTTTACCCTGTTATCAATGAGCCCCCATTATCATACTTTCTCAAAAACTACTCGTATATATAATGCATAAAATATGTAAGCGGTCACTTTATTTCTTTGCCATCACATTAAAATCGAGCTCCGTACATTTTATTTTGATCAAGTATATAAGCAATAATGTTGCTTATAAAAAAATTTAACGATGAAACTGTAATTTAGTTTGATTTAGAGAACTCAGGATATTTAGAAGATGTGTCTTCTCCTCGTACAACTCAAATCGATAATACAACAGTCATAGTTTCTGAAAATAATATTGAATTCTTGTAACACTAGCTTTATGCAATTTTTCATGCTTAGAGCAGAATTGTCAGATCCAGCTTGGAGTTCAATTAAGAAATGCAAACGTAGCTCTTTGTATTAAGCGTTCCTTACCTTTAATTGTTTATTTAACAATTGTTCTAACAGTTTAGAATATTCGGCACATAGCAATAACGGAAAGGCTACTTCATTTTATTCAAATCAAAATATTCTGATAATTGATTTCCCGATTATTTTTTCTATTCTATAAGTGAAAACTAATAGAAGATAGAACAACTGCTAAATAAACAATTAAAGGCAAAAAACACTTAATATAAAAAGCCATGTTTGCATTTGAACTCCAAGCCGGAATCTGACAGCTCTGCTCCAAACATGAAAAATAGCATAAAACTAATGTTACAAGAATTCGATGTTATTTTCAAAAATTATGACTGTTGTATCATCGATTTTTGTACAGGGTAAGACGAAGATTTGTCTGATTATATAAAATGGAATGGATTTAAAAACCTGTTGATTAAATTTGACCTGTTTGATTAAATAAGATGGAAGTGATTCTAAAACCTGTCGATTTTTTAAGAATGTAAAAAGTAGCTTCTCTTCAATATTTATCACATTTTCTAAATGTTCAGAGTTTTTCTTCTAAATCAACTCTAAGTTTCAACGTTAAATTTTTTATAACTATCATTATGGCTTACATACTTGATCAAAATAAAATGTACGGAACATTTCAATGTGATAACAAAGGAATGAAGTAATCGCTTACATATTTTATGCACTATATACGAATAATTTTTAGAAAGTATGGTGAGAGAACTTATTGATAACAGGATAAAATGAAGTAGACACTGTAGCTATGAGTGATATCCCATGTAAATCTACGATAAATGTCTCATTCTTAGTACCTAATTGTTTGGATAACAAATAAAATTCTAGTGGATCGTGAGTTCCATCAAGAAGAATAATAGTTAGAAGTGATTCTGATGTGGTTCAAAAGACAGCCTTATTGACAACCATTCTTTAATTATCAATTTACAATTCTTGACTTAGCAAAAAATAAAAAAAGTCGCATAGTTTAGGTAAGCATATAAAGTCCGATTGTATTATATTTTCATATCGTATTTTCTCATATAGAATATCAAAATGTGAACTGTATGCGAAAAAGTATGAAAGTTATAAGTATAACAATTTGGCGGTTACTTGTATCAAAATATATCTATATATAATGTTTTAGAAAGATCTGTACTCGGGTGGAAATGTGTGTAGTCCAAATTTCTATATTAGCCCCGTGGAGAATGTCGTGGCACATCAGGATCGGAAAGGGTTTAGTCGGGCGCTACCTATTTCATCTTGGACAAAATTATACAGTGATGTGCCAAAATTAGAAAACTAGCTAGCGGGAGCTAGTTAACGCCCGGCCAGTGAGACAGGATCGTAATAATCGTTTTTAAATACAATAACTAAAATTATTAAATAAATAGTAATAATGTAATTCTTCTTACTGACTCTCCCAAAATCAACAACAAAAGATTCAAAAAAACACATTAACCATATTTCTTTCGAGCTGCGATTAACATGCATCTAAACATGATATTCTCTAGTGGTAATAAATTTTCATTGTTTTTTGATCCAATGTTAAGATGAATTTCTTTTATGATTTGGGATTTTACAACATTAAACCAGTTAATCACATGGTGATTTTTTCCTTGGACATGAAGTTATACTTTGAAATTATATTGCTGAGGCCCGAGTGGAAATGTCGCTAGGCGGGGGCTAGCTAGTTTTCTCAATTTTCTATGTAGGAAACTATTCGCTGCAATAGAAAATTAGCCTGGGGTGACATAACATGATAACGATCATTTTTTTATAGCCCCTAAACAGAAAAACTGTCTAGGTCTTGGACTAAGGTGCGATGTAGCCCCCTAACCATCAAACCTGTCCAAATTCTGTCTAGATCAGTGCCCGCAACGGAATTCGCATTTCAGGCTGTTTTTTGAATCAATGTTTACTATCTATCCCTCTATTGCTCAAGGTTGAGCATGCATAAAATGCCATGATATTCGCTCGGCCGTCGATTTTTAAGTGATAGAGGGAGAGAGAAGGCGCCTCAAAAATGAACCTAAAATTTACAGTTCGTTACGAGCACTAGTCTAGACTAGTGGACAAATATTGGGTAACCTAGTTTGTACATATATTAATAAAAAACACTAAATATTTATATAAAACATATCTGCTTTTTATTTTGTTCATTTAATTTAATAAATTTTGTTCATATAGACAATATAATTAAACGTAAGTTACAACGCCCTAAACACAATAAAAAGCACAAGCAACAGGAACAGAGAATTAATAGTAATAGTATAATAAAATAGTAATATAGTGTTAATAATAATATTATAAAGTAATAGTATGAATTGAATTTGAACCGCTTAATTAGATTTGAAAACGAATTGAATTAAATCCATTTCGATTCAATTCGATTCGAATTCGAACTATTCACATACTAGCTAATTCCTTGTTTTATTTGATCAATGATCTCTAAACTCATCCCAATCTTTAGAATTAGTCAAACAAATTCCCACAGCTGAACGTGTCTGAAAATGTGATGCCTTTCTTATCTTTCTCATAGATCATTAAGAGGGAGTCTAGAAAACATTAAAAAATTATTACCGCATAAAGTCTGTTGTTTCTATAATGATCAACAGACTATGTAGGTAAATTACAATTTCTTACCGACTATGCACATCGGAGTATTTTTAAGTTTTACACCTTTTTTGTGCTGTGAACCTTAATGCCACATAACGCGTCATTATTTTCTATATTATATAGGTACATTATAACGCTCTTAGTAATACTAAATTGACTGTCGGTAAGATAATATAATAAAGCCATCTGAATTATGAAAGTATTATATATATATATTAGGTGTTGGAATTAATTCGTAGCCGACACTTTTCGTTTGCCTTTAATTTATCTTGGAATACATTTAAGTTCTCTAGTGTACGCATTGGGAACTCAACGTCATACTTTTCGGAAAATTATTTACCATTCGAAGTAATTCCTTTCTTATTAACGGCAGATGTCTCAAGTAAACGTTTTATATCAATTTGAATCTTTAAAATTTCGTTAAGAACGACGGCAATATTCTGAAATTTGTGCATGATAAATTGGATCTCTATATAATGTACAAAATATTAGTTTAACAATAATATATATATAATTTAAATAACAGCAAAAATTAAGTCTCCTTACACACATCTACTTACAATTATTATCTTTGATGATTTTTGTGACTTCGTTGCTGAGATTGATGCTTCCTTTGACGCTTTCAACAATGCTTCTTTTACATAAGTTTTTCTTCTTTCCAAAGTGACGTTTGCAATCGACTGCGACATTAGATCAACATACTTACCTACATATAAAAGACGATAATAATTAAAATCATTAATAATTTCTACAATAAATGATACATAATAAAATTTGAAATGATATGTTGCTTTATTAATACTTTGATACATTGCTTACTCGAATTATAATTGCAATCATCAACACTGTTATTACACTCATGTCATATGAAAGTATACAGTCGTATGACAAAGTTTCAAAAATATTATAATATATGTTATATAACTTGTTGAAATAGTTTTTGTAACATTTATAAGTATATTATTTTTATTTGCAACTCATTAAATACTATATAATTGATCAGAAGGAGTACTTGAACTATTACCTGTTAAACTAGATGCTACATAAAATTTTACATATTAATAAAGACATTTCAAACATTACAATTATATTATATAAATAAAATGTTGAAAATTATGACAATATTTTAATTATTTCTTACAATTTCTTATGATGAAATATGACGTTTTTTTCCAGAAATGATTTCTTTCTTAAAATGGCTTTTCTAATTTTATGAGATTGAGATATTTGTGATCCTAAACAAACATGCCAATTATACCCAAAATAATAGAAAAGTATGAATTTACAATTTTAAAACTTGTATTCAGTTACGTATATACCAAATAGTGTAAATATATTTCACAGTAATTTCTGGTACGGTTTAGATTTTGCAAATTTAGGTATTGATGTTGCTTAAAAATTCGAGTAACACTTTATACATAAAACTTTATACATAAAACATTAATTAATCTATAGACAATTTAAAAAAAAGCTACTCTATAATAATCAACTCAAAAAGATAAATTTTAAAGCTGCTTTAATATGTATTTTTGATGAATAATGTACATTTTTAAAATAATTATTTTACGAAACACACGTTTTCACATTTTTCTTTTGCGTTTTTCTTTTGTTGCAATCTGCGGAATCTTTGTTCGGAATTTGTGACACAGTCATCATCTCTTTTAAATCGTCTACTTTTCTTTTCAAATTTTAGATTTTTAATGATTCTTCAATTGCAGCTGCATTCTCGGTGAATGCATACAATTGCTCTTCTTCTTTTAAAGTTTCTTGCCCCCATCGGCATAAGTTTCTCTAATTAAAATTATTCAGTGACAATTAATGTAATGCATAACCAAAAAAATGTTTAAATGTACTAAGAAGCAACATTTAAAAAAAAATGAAAATAAAAATTTCTACGCTTTTTGAAAATTAAAGATTTTTCTATTTAATTAATTATATTTGAAAATAAGATTAAAGTTACAACTGCATATAAATTAATATATTATATATTTTGGTTTACTTACTTGTTTAGCTTTCACTTTAATGCTGTAAGAGACCCAATCTTCTGCATCAGTTAAATCTGTTATTAATTGGAAATCTTCTTTTCCATAAGGTGATGGCATAAATTAATTATGAGTTTCTCTTTTTTCTTATCATATTCAATCCATTTTGATGGAACGAGGTCTATTTTTCTTTGCCCTGGCCGTCCCCGAGATATAAATTCAACGACTACTACGAAGTCGTAATCAAAGTCGTTATCATCTCCGTCAGAACTCGTCTCTTTAAATCGAAAGTTAATATTGCATATTTGAGTCAATTATTAAATCATCTTAATAATTGATTATCTTATAAAATACGATATTAAATGCAAAATATATTAGGTTATAAGTCTCGCGTTTGAGCTTACATTAAACAAATGCATAATTCCTTTATAACAGCTTACTTTAAAGATATGACTTGCTTTCGTTACGAGACGTTTGGTGTTTGATGTTGAAAATTTTTGTGTCCTTTTTGGGATGTCGTAATTTGTGCTGTTAAAGAAGATTCTTGAAGCTTCGCGGTAAACTGCGCTGAATTGCATCACAGCGTATATCAATTAATCGATCAATAATAAATGAATACGTATGGTCATTTCTTTTCTGTCTATTTATAAATTTTAATGTCATTCGAAAAAAATAATCATTATATAATGAAAAATAAAATAAAATATACACAGCCATTTTTAAGTTTAAATGTCGTACTTTTACGACATTTTAAACTTTTATTGATGTATTGGACTTAACACAAAAGCTCTTTCCGACTTCTGCGAGTCAAAGTTTAGACGTAAAGGCACGACTTTATCTTCAACATTACCTATTGGTACTGTTACTGAAGATGCACTTGTTTATATTGTATTTCCCATATCTTCGTATTATTCGAATTTGAGGGATAAGAATAAACAGATTTTATTATTTTCATAATTTTGCTTTTCAATATTTTTTTGTCAGATAAGAAAATTTTTTCTAATTGGAAATCGCGGTATTTCGAGGAGTGACGTGAAGACTCAAATCGTGCAGGCGTTCAAATTGTAAGACGAGCCACAAAGATGCCTGCGCAATCGGGAGTCTAACACTCAAGCTACTTGAAGCTTACGACAACATGACAACATGACACCCACTGAGCAAATCTGCAATAGCTCTAAGTTAGATGATCAATGTTCAGTTGTATCATCACTAGCACACTTTCCAAATTTTTTTTTTCTAATTGAAATATTCTTCCATTTAAACGTATCATATTTTTTGGAAATTTTGTTGACAAAATTGTTTCCTTATATTTTACTACAAAAAATACTGAATTATTAATTTTTTTAAGTATTTTAGATTTAGGAGATTGTGTAGCTAGCTTATTTCTCTTCCATTTTCTTCATGCAATTTATCACAATATTGATCTAAGAGGCGATACACTGAATTTAATTTCTTTTTAATTTGTCCCAAACAATTTTCTAAACTAAATGCGCTTATGTTAAATAAGCTACAATTCATATTGGCTACATGATCTGCGAGGTGACGTAGGTTATGTACATTAATTACAACAAACTCTGGATCATAAATATGTGATGCTGTTTTGACAAATGTGATCAAATAGTCTTTTGCGTATACGTGATATTCTGGGGCGTTTCTCATACATAAAAGCCTGCATGCCATATGGAGCAATAAAAATGCTTATACTGTACGTCACTTATTAGATCTTCTAGAACGATTGGTCCACAATACAATAAAACAAACATCAACTTCGTGGTTTTTCATTTTGCAACAAAATATAATGAGGTTTCCGTTGAAAATCTACAGGAGTACTTGATGTATTCTGATGTACTCTAACCTGCGAGATAATTTAACCCTATGTTTTTAGCTCATTTTTATTTTTACAATAGATTATTACTAATCCAATAATCTACTAATAATCTTCTCATGATACCCAAGGGTCCAAGATGCATAAAATCCAGAATAAATTGTTTAATCATATATATTGGTGGATATATAAGTAATAATATATATAGCCGAAGCATTTGTATTATGACTGGGTTGAAAGAAAAAGTTCCGGAACGATTCATCAGTTCTTTCTTGATGATTATTCGATGAAATAAAAACTGTCACTTTATTACCTTTTTCTTCTTACATATCACATCGCTCGCATGCACTAAATCCTGAATGGCCTTGTGTACACTTCAGGAAAGATCGTGCAAATGTGACACAAATAAAATTTTGTGTTTTTATCTGGGAAGTGTTTGTCACGTATTACGCAATCCTTCATTTGCAATTTATTTATTTCTAAAACGAACTGATGTAAAAAGTCTGATAAGATTTTTAGATTTGAAATTACCAGCATATATTGCAACTGGATTAAAAATAATTGGATCAAAGTAGACTCTCATAAAATCGGCCAAAACATCTTTGCGCTGGATTTGAATAATGGTACCGTCTATATTTATTTATAGATAAATTTCCTTATCATGGACTTTTAGATCAATGCATACTATTAATCCTGCTTTTATAAAATAGAGTTTGTAAAACTCTTCTTCGAAGCCACCATTATCAATCTTTGGCATGATCAAATATTTTGCAGATGATGTTCTCAAAAAAGTCTTTGACTTAGGCAAATTTGGTAATAATCTTGAACAAAAAATATCTAATAATTTGTCTAAATGTGCATGAGGCACTTTGCAATCTATTGCTCACTTACGCAACTGTGAAATTTCAATCTCTTCTTTTTCATCTAATTCCAATTCTTTATCGTTTTCTTCTAGAAAACTGCCTTCATTATTAATTGATGCCAAATCAGAATCTTCTGAATTCATTTCCTCATCGCTGCTATCATTCATATTATTATTTTGCAAGATCAAGTCACTTGAGATATCAAATGTTACTTCATCAGAATCACTGTTACATTTTAAAATTTCTATCGATTTTGTAGACACATGCACACTATCATTTTCACATACATTTTTATTTTCTGATGATAGATTATTAATTAAATTCCGAATATTTTTCTCGCATAATGTTTACGCTTTCGCAAATTACAAAATTTTTTTTACTCATAACAATATCTTATGTGCGACTGAAATATAAATTTTTGTTGCAATTTGAGGTTATTTACAACCTCAAATTGTAATAAAAGTTTATATTTAATCTCATAGATAAAGTAAACAGGTCAGTTTCCGCAAAGTGATTTAGACGCGTAAATTAAAATCCACTCCATCAATTCGAGGGATCAATCAATTTTCCGTTATCGTTGCTTATAAAAAGCTGATTTCAAATACTAGAACAAAAAAAATTCGCTCTAATAAATAGAATTTTGTTTGTTTTTAAATAATCTATTAGCAATGTAATCGGGGACTATCTAGTACCCTACCTAGGAATTACATACAATTTTGTGTGGCCACCTATGTAGAAAAGCTAGACAGGAACTATGTAACACTAGGGCTACGAGCAGGATAAAGATATTCGATTATTTTTATCCCGTCTATGAACCTGATGCTGAATATTCCCCGTCTAGATTTTCTATCTAAGCAACCCCGGAAAATTCTACGTAGCTCCTACACAGCCGGTCGCAAAAAAACAGATGATTTTACTATTAAAAGTACCATTGAAAAACTCATTGAAAATGAATGGCATTTTCAATAGTATTTTTTATAGCAAGCTGAATGAGTTTTTACTAATGGCAATATTTTATCACTGAGGATTTTATCACTGGCTAGTAATGTTTTCAATACATTAATTTTATAGTTTTATTGTTAAAATGAGTATTATTATTGATTAATATCTTATTTCAGAATATACATCATAAAATAATGATAAAAAAAAAATTTTTCCCTAAATTCGGGAACTAATTTCATAGTGTTTCGAATCGGTTATTCATCTGATTGTCATCCGTTATTCTTGATTACTGAAATCGTATGGAAACCGCTGCACTTTGATGATCTACGAACACCTATATAATCATGTATAGCTATGATACATCTGTTCAATATACAGTCCTGATAGAAATTTGTCCAATTTAACTGAACATCCAGTCAGCTACTGTTTAATATTTAATTTTAATGTTATAACGACTATTTTGAGGAAATCATACGCTGTACTTTTGTAGTACCAGTTATATACTATGTATATCGTCTTTGACTAGAGGTCTCCACAGTCTCTCTCTTCTATCGATAATAATACGCCGTATTGATATGGTAAGGGTTATGAACCATGATGTATCTAAACAGTATGCAGTACAGGTACAATGTTGATACGTTATACTATAATATCATGTACACTTTTTGTATCGCTACCATATAGTTATACCGCTACCTCGGCAGTATAGTAACAATACGGTAGCGATATTTTATGCGTGGGATATCGCTTGGTTATCTGAGGTAATGTTTTACTATTGAAAATTTTATTACCAGTCAGTGATAAAAGCTTCAATAATAAAATATTGTCATTGGTAAAATTCCATTGAAAGCACTGGATTGTATAAATGAGCTTTCAATGCGAATGATATTCCTGTTGACAATAATCCAATGACAAAATATTATATCACTGATCGAATGATTTTCTTATTGAACGCTTCAAGTAATAAAATCATTCGATAATAATAATGCCGTTGAGTCCGTATAATTTTATCATTAATTGATTTTACTATTGATCTGAATGATAATATCATTGATACTTTTCGCGATGGGAGGATACTAGACAATACCCGTCTAATTTTGCGAGACAAGTGCGCCATTGACTTTCTCCACAAGGTTCTATATAGAGACTCGGAGCGCCAGGCCAGGTTTCCACTCGGGGGATGGTTCCAAAATAAACCGAAATGTATTATATTATTATATTTTTTGGAATAAAGATTTAAGAACACATCTTGCGTATTAACTACCACGCTGACTTTCATTCGCCCTAGTTTTTTTGATTTTTTGTTGTAGATCATTAAATAATATATAAGTATAATAAAATGTAAATTAGTTATTCAACATTTTATAAAACTATTCGACACTTAAGGCTCCTGACTAGTCGCTGCAACCATGTTGGGATCGTGACGTCAGAAGCGAGGAATGACACGTTAATTTATGGTGCATGCCATTTTTAAATAAAGACAATTTGGATGAAACGAAATAACGAGATCGCTTTAAAACACTTGTAAAATTCGATGAAAACTGTCCTTTCTTCCCTTGAGTCAATAAAAGGCACGTAATGTGAGCCTATATTCGGACAGAAACACACAGTCTGACAGCTGTTGAAATGAATAAAAAATATACGTTTTTACATATAAAATTCCAAGACAACTTTAGTTTTCATAGATACATAATTACAACTTTAATAAGTACGAGACAAGTCACATTTTCACAATAAAGCAAATAACAATGAAATGGCATGCAACATAAATTTCGTCGTCAAAATGTCTTAAAAGTTTAGCCATTTATCGTGGTGCGACGCTGTAACACACATACAAGCACGAGCCCATGTACGTGTGCTCGCTTTCGGCGCGCCGAGAGTGAACGAGACAGCGAGCTCTTTCTCACATTAGTCGCTTGTTTCAAGCGATTCTCCCCAAAATGCCTTCTCGGAAATCTCGATCGCTCAGCATCAATAAAGGCCGAGAGGCTCCCTTATTCTAAATAACATATAAGTTTTAATAAATT